ATCTCTAAACTAAATATAAAAAATAATTTTTAAAAATCTCAAAAATCAAAATTTTTTAAAATTTTAAGCAAATTATTATGCAAAACACATGTTAAACGCTTTAATTATTTACACACAAACATATCATAAGTGCAGTGTATAAATTAAACTGTTATAAATTGTAATAGTTTATTTTTTATTTTAGGTAGGATTTAACTAAATAGCATGTAAAATAATATAAAAGTTTTAAAATACTTTCAACAAGATGCTTTAAAAAATTTTGGAAAAACCGAAAAAAAGGCAATATAACCATAAAATATCCTTAAAGATGTGAAATAAAAAAAGATTTAAATATTTTACAACCTTAAAAATGGTTCATGCTATAAAATATATACACGGTATACACGGTATACCACCACATACACAATTTACAATTAAATTTCCACAACTTTCTTGAAATAAAAAAAATCTTAGAAGAAAAAAGAAGAACCAGTTTTCTGAAAAGGAAACTCTTTTTAACATAATATCGAAAAATATGCACTAGCTTTTTTTTCTTTAAATAATGGATGGATGTAGTAATACGAGTAACATAGGTAAAATTATTTTACGGATAATAAAGTATGCATTTTGCATTTAAATATCCTTATGTTCTATATGCTGCTATGAATCCTTTTAATGGTTCATATTTTGTTATTTATTTTATGCCATATAGAATTTTGTTGTTTAAATTTTAGGGGACATTTTAAATTTCGCAATTATATCTATTAGTTTATAAAGATCAAAATTACTGCCACAATATTATTGCAAAATATTGGATAATTTTAATTAGAATTGCATAATATTTAAATCAAAATGAAATTTTTATATTTTATGAGAAAAATTTTTTAACATATTACCGTAAAACATACTATAATACAATATTAGAATATAACAATGAGGGTTAAACTTTATATATTATGCAATTTACAGACATATTAAAATTTAAATGGAAATTATTACGAAAATTAAATTTTACAAAATAGAAAGTTCCATATTTTCTTATTACCCCACTCTCCCCGTTATTAAGTCGATTTAGATCTTTATTTATTTTCCTGGAAATCGTCTAATTTATAATCGAATTATCTCGAAAACGGGGTTTCGTGAAAAAAAATTATTAAAAAGTAATTTGAAGACCAATTCAAAATTTTTTAAAATTTTGAAAAAAAATTGAATAGGGTAAATTTTTTTGTGATTGGCCACTTTGCAAAAAATTTAGTATTTTTTTTTTCTTTTTTTTAACTTATTTAATTTTTTAAAGCGATTAATAATTATGGAAACTATAGCAATTTAAGTCGATACACCGTTTTGCCAAAACCAAAAATTTTAAAGGGATTTTGTCGGTTAAACATTCCTTTGAAGCCTCTTCCTACCAGGAGCAATTGCTTTCATAAAATTGTACCCCCTTTCTACTGCGGGAGATTATACTACGTTACAAGTTCGCCCTGCACACGTACAAGACTCGTACAATCTCAATGAATTGTTTCGAAAATAATAATAATATTACTACATTCGTTTATGCGAAATGTCGATATTGTAGCTTCAACAATTTCTGAACCAGATCCGAATAAATTTGGAATTTGTATGCAGTTGTATGGCTGTAGCTTTGATAGTTTCTAAGATATGCCCAAATAATTTTAGAAAATGTATATACAACTAAATTGTATAGCTATATATATAACAATATACATAAGAAGATATACCATCTCAACGATTATTTATAGAAAATAATGACAATATTACCATATTTAATTATGCATATTTTCGACACTATGGCACAAAAATTGTTTTTTTTTATTGTACTGTTTGCGAAACGTCAAATACAAGTATTATGATAATAATATATTCTATTGAAATAATTTACCTATTACTATATCGTATTGCATAAGTTTAGGCATTTTCAAGTATTTACGTATGTACATACATGTATATGTATTATTTCAACAAAAGTTTTGCAATAGAATGAAGATCAGATTAGAATCCAAATAAATTTAGTTAAGTAGTATGGGTATATTTTTAGAGAAGGAGACAATTATTCTTTTTAATGAATTTGATGAAGTTTATATGGAGTGCTTAAAAAATGGGTAATCGAAAATTTACGTTTTGCAATAGTTTGATATTAAAATTTTTATTGAAAATACATGACAATTTAAAAAGGAGAAACAACAAAAATTAAAATTTTTGCATTAGTCTTAAAATATTAGTCATATACGTTATTATGATAGTATTATGGTCGAGAATCTGCAAGATGAATTTCATTACGCCTCATTATATTTACATACAAGAAAAATATTTACTACCTCAAATAAGCGGATCCTTTTAAATCACCCAGATTTTACTTTTGTTTTTACTATTAAATTTTTTAAAAAGGCATTTTTTTTAATAGTATAGCATTTTTATAGTATAGTGCCCAGCAATAGTACAGGTCCCAGCTTGAAAATTTTTATTTTAAAAAATAATATTTTTAATGCAACGATTCTAGTTCTACACAAAAAATACCGTAAAAATTATGCAAAATTGGTATATGTTAAGTTAGTGAAAAAATCATTTTTTCAAAGTATTTTTCCTTCTCATATGTAATGTCAAACATAACAATTTTTTAAACTTGATTTGTAATTTTCTGGCCTGTATACTTTCCTATAATAAAGGAGTTTCACTAAATTAACTGTGTTTGGATTTTGATTTTTATAAAATAATTTTACAAAGTCAAATATTTGGTAGTAATATATTGAAATTTAAAATCTTTTACATTTACATGTAATCAAAATATTTTTGAATCATGATAATTTTCTTAAAAGTATGATTCTTATCATAATTTATTACACCACCCTTATCTGTAGCATGAATTTCTTTTAAGTTTTTTTTTTCAGGAAACCACAATATGTTTGTGGATTTTGTATTTTGAGACCCTTGAGGAATGTTAGACATTTACAGAGACAATTTTTTTTCTTTCTCCTGATTAATAAACAACTTCATATGAAATTTGTTGTTTTATTAGATGAAGCGAACCGAGTTCAAAGTTATATAATTTTTTATTTGTAAAATTATTTCAACAAACGAACAACAAAATATTAAACAATTCACTAAAAATTTGTCTACTCATTAAATTTTCCATATTGCAGGTATTTTTCAAACATAGATCAATATTAACACCTGGCTTCTAAAATAAAAATGCAAATAAAATAGTGTTTAAAAGGAAGTGGAAAAAACATTTTCTTGTGTAAATTCTACAAAAAATTTAATTTTTTTTTTTTTGGATTGAGAATCTCTTCTCTAGATTTAAACATAATTGATGCTGTAATTGCAAAAAAAAAAATAAAATAAAATAAGCATGCTGATCTTTTATTTTTCATTGAAAGTCATTACACCCACATGTCTACTTCTACACAACATTCATCCCTGCATACACAATCTCCAAAACTACTTATTGTTGATTTTTTTTTAAGAATACAAAGATAAAAAACAATTTAAAAAAAAAAACAAAAAAACTGAATTACTACGAGTTAATCGTGTTTGCTCTGTGACACTAGTTCGAATGAATTTTTTTTATTTACTTTAAATGTAAAAATTTTGTTACTTTAGCTATAAGTTATTGTTGAAACGCAAAAACATAATTGCATAAAATCAAAAATCAACCATGAATAGGAATGTACATTTTTCTATCGTCACAATTAATTATTTCAATTCATAAATGAACTGAACAAATTCATAATATTACACGATAGCTTCTTTGATCGTCGTATGGTATTATGGATTTATGGACGGCTATAATATAAGAAAGTTTTCCAAAGTAAATTTTATATTTAGTAAATTGAATAAATTTGAACGAATTTCCTAAATGTTTTGTTTCTCTTTTTTTTCTCTAATGTGGAATAAGAAATTAGATACAAATAATATGCATCCGAGAATTTCTGTATATGTATGCTATAATCTTAGCATGTATTCGAAAATATCAAGGAACTATATTGAAAAATTTCTAAAATAAAAATTTAATGTTGAATTACGGTGACCATATTCTATGAAATTTTAATTCATGACATCTCCGCTTTTCGTAAAAGACATTAATATGGTCCTTTTAAAACTTGCAATATTAAAAGAAGATTTTCAATAATATTCGAAAATTTTCAAACAAAATTCGCCTTAATTTAAATTGTGAATGCAAAAAATACGAATAAAAGATAATAGTTATTATTTAATAGTATTATTTAATAGAATGAATAGTATTAATAATTTTAAGTAACTACGTATATTTATGTATTATAAATTTAATATTGTGTGTCATTGATTTGAAAATGGCTTCAGTCAATTTATTTCGTAATATATGATTTTAATAAATAAAAAATCTTATCTTATTAAAATTTGTACAAAGATTTTTATTCTTAATCTTAATCTTTAGCCAGTAAAATGAAATGGTCACTACATAACTTAAAAAAAAAACTGCCTTAGAAAATAATTTTCTTTTTTTCATCTTGTTATTTCAAACCAATTGGTTCTAACCAGGTAAAACATATTTTTTGTAGGCACACATTGTTCTTACAAATACTTGGAAAACAAAATAATAATGTATCAGAGCTCAAGATCTGGTAAGGAAAGGATAATACTAAAAATAATAACAAAAATATGCAACAACTATGCATTCATATATTTAATCTTATAATACTTAAATGGGTTCTAAATTTAGAGAAGGGAGAGGTTTAAGAAAGAAATGGCAAAATGTAAATCTCTTTTCAGCACATGTTTAATTATCAGTGAATTCACTTACCTTCAAATAAGTAGGTATATAAATAGTTTTAACGCATTGTTTTCAAACGCTCGCATATTTTTATAGAGAAAAAATAAAACTTTTATTATGGTAGGTACCATTAAAATTTCAGGCTGAGCAGGCAAGTATTGAAAAATATTGAAAGAGAGAATTTTGTACATATATACTTATAAAAATGATGTTTTAAATCTCAAATATTATCATTAATCAAGTGTCTGTCAAAGTATTTAAATCAAAAATTTACATTATTTTTTGTTGGTGTTTAACAAGTTTTTCGTTCAACAATAAAATATATAAAAATTTCTTTCGTTACTGAAATTTATTTAAAGCATTTTTGCTATTTGCATAAAGGGAATATTATAATATATAAATTGGGGACAAAATGACTATTATTAAGGCCGCATTTTCAGTAAGTTGATTATATTGTTTTAAAAAAAAAATCAAAACATTCAATTTAAGTTTTACTCAGAAATTAAAAATAAGTTAGAATTCTAATTTACAATTAGAGAACACACAAATACAACAGGAGCTTCGAATATTTCATACATTCATTTCAATTTGCTTTTAAATAATTTGTCAAAGACACGACAAGTTTAAGAAGAAGATTAAATGAGAAACTTCAAATTTTTATCTAAATACATTTTAATAATTAATTATTAAAATACATTTTAATAAAAATTAACAAACAATTTAAATTAAAAATTAACAATACTATGATCAAAATTTTATTAAGCTGCTATTATCTAGTCTTGATAAAGGAATAAATAAGTTGGTTTCCAAATATTTATTGTTAAAATATGTTATATGACATTCTTACAAAATTTGCGAACTCCCCATATAATTTTTGTCTATATTTTCTTTTAAATATTTCAATTTTACTATTTTACTATTCAAAATAAAATTTTTCATTTCTAATATAAAACCTTTATTTTCGTTTAGAAAAAGCGTCGTTTACTTGAAGCCTTTATTGATGCTGAAGAACAAAATCAAAATTCAAATGATACGATTATTGAACCAAATTCAAAAAAAGTTCATATTGGTGAACCAATAAATGATAATATTAGAATGGATTGCTCAATTGATACATCCGATTTCGAAATAAATAATCCAATACAACCATTATTGTCATCTAGAGTTTTATATTTAATTAAAGTTAAATTAGAAATATTTGAACAATGGGAATTAAAAAAACGTACAGCATTAGAAAAAATTTATGAAAGTGTTGATTTATTAACAAATAAAGAAGAAAAGCTAGAAAAATTACGAACAATGAAAAAAGAAAAAGAAGAAAAACGTAAATTATTACAAAATTCGCTAATAACAAATACAAATGATCTTATTAAATCTGAAATAACTTCACAACTTTCATTACAAAATATTCATAATTTGAATAATAATCAATTTGGAAATCCAACTGTAAAGAAAGAATCAAATCAAAAAATTGAAAAAATGATTCCAATTGGACCAAATGGTACATTGGTGCCAGAAAAAGTATTACAATTAATTAATTGGAATCAACCAACAGCTGCAACACGTAAGCTTTTAATGACAGTATTTGATCGAGATACCTTAGCATTTCATACATTAACTGGTAAACCGTCACCAGCATTTATGGGTTGTGGCAGACCATTAAAAGATCAATTAAATCCACAAAAAGTTGCTGATATTATTCATATTGTTACAAAACGTTCAAAAGCACCAGAACGAGATATTCGTAGTGCTATAACAACGAAATGTGCAGATGAAAATAAAATGTACAAACAACGTCAACAAAGAAGAGATAAATTGGCAACAATATATCAAGCAAATAAAGAAAATTTTAATTATTTTAAACATAATATGACATTTTGAAAAGGAAAAGCAAAATTTATTATGTTAAATTTAAAGATAACAACTTCCTAAATCGAACATGAAAATTATTCTACATTACTGAAATCATTTTCTAGAATCAAAAGTTCCATAAAATCGTATAAGATAATATACAATTAATTATGAGACAACACCTTTAATTTTTAAACCTATTACTTATTATATTTGCAAATAATATATTAATTGATAATAGGTTTATTAAATTTATTTAATTGAATATTTAAAGGTACTAATATTTTTTAATTTTGCATATTCAACATTTAAAAAATTTAATTTGCAACATGAAACAAAAAAAAACAAAAAAATTCTAATTTTAGAGATAAGATTTTTAGTTTATAAGAACTGTGATTAGTAAAAGAAACTATTTTTGAGAGCGAAAATTGTGAAGAAGTGATAAAAAGTCAAACTTATAAAATAAAATTTTGTACCTACAAGAAAAACCAAAACTTTTACTTTTAATGCTGATTTTTTTTTAAAAGTTTCGGTTCAATATAATTTACAATATTTTACATAATATGTGAGAAAAGTCTTCAAGACAAAAACAGTTTATAAACACAAAACAATTAATTTGATTGTTTACAATGAAAATTGAATTAACAAAATTTAAAAAATTTGGTAATCGTTATGCGTTTTGATGAGAAAAAAAATGCCTGCTACTAATGCAATTCAATATGGAAAACAGTATTCCTTCGTGCGAGAATAGAAAACTCAATCTAGAATCGAGTACACACCGAAAAGAGATTTTATATTTATAAACGTGAGTCCACAATACTTTTTTTTAAGAATATATCCAGAAAAACAGGAAAAATATTTCTAAGAAATACTAAAAAATTTAAGAGAAAATTTCTGTTTTATGTTAAAAAATACACATTTAAAATTAAAATGAGTACCAGATATGTAACAAAAATAAATGAAAAAAAAAACTGAAGTTAATTTATTCTTATCTACTTTGATTGTACTACCCACTTTATATAAGAAACCTTTGTACATGCATTTTTTAACATTTTTTAAACTGCTTTATATGCAAATACCCTTACATAAATTTTTAAGTTTCCAATTAATCTGGTTTTTGCTGAATATAATATATGAAGTTATTTTGATAAAATTGATTTATGTCAATGTTTAGCTCCCATTTTAAGTTATATTAAACACCATTACATTGTATGAGAATTTATAACTCCTTTTTCATATTATCAGTTCTATGACAATAAAATTTGGGTATTGTTCAATCCTTCATATTTATATATTCTTGTAGTTATTCCAAATTATCGATTTCTAATATTTTTGTTTGCGTGATGAAGGTCGTTATAATATTCATTGTTTATTATGATTTATTAATGAATGTCTTCTAATGAGAATCAAAGAGTTCTAACACAAAAGTTTTTTTTGCACAAAATGATTTTATTGTAGATTTTATTTGATTTGGCTATGTCTATTAGGAAAATTGATATGCAAATTTGCAACGAAATTCCTTTCGGGCGGCCTTATCATGATAACGAACGACTGAACTTCGTGAACTCAGTATCATTTCAAATCATACCAGATCCTGCTATTTTGAAAATGTTGCTATTTTTCCAAATCAAAAATGTGGCTATATTAATGGATCAAAAATGCCTTTACCATAACATTAAAAAAGTTTGTTTTAATAGGTCTGTCTAGCATAAAACTTCAAAAAACTTTAAAAAGAGAAACAATGACATAATAGCAAAAAATTTCATGCGGCGATGATAGTTAGCCGATTGGTATTATGTCTGTATTGAACACAAACTCTGATTAAAAAAACTTCTTACAATATTAAACTGAAATTTTATCTTACAAAGTCATTTTAAATTGCCCATTATCAAGATATGAATTTCAGAAATGTTAATCCCCGGAACTATTGTTTTTATAATGGACTAGAAATCAAGAGGATTAATGTAAAAATTTTTCACATGAGGCAACAATATTCTTCGAATTATATTAAAATAAAAAATGTAGCTATGTGCAAATAAGTGAATGTTGTATGTACAAATACTATATTAATTATATCCCCAATGTATTCATTCGTACCATAATAACAATAGACAAAATAATAGTAGAAAGTCACAATAAAAAATAAATTGTATTTTTATTAGAAATAGTATGCATACATGCATATATAAAAAAAATGTAATTAATAATGTAAGCATAAAATACACGAAATTTATAAAACAGGAGACAAAACAATAAAAATTATTTACTACAAAATCTAAAATTAAATTATTAAATTAAAATTATTGAATTTTTTTTCCTTTGTTTATTTTGCAAAAAATGAAGAAAAACAAGAGCGTAAAATATTAGAAAATAAAGAGTTTCCCATTTAGCGAAACTTTGCAAAACACAAAAAAATAAAGAGAAATGAAATGAACGAGAAAGAAGTAAAATTGAAAAAAATATTTATAAATAGTTTTTTGGTATATTTTGCAAAATTTTTTTACAAAAAAAAATTCGATTGAATGAATTGAAGAGAAGAAAATTCATTTTCAGTTTCATTTCTAAAATTCAAACGTGAAAAGCGCAAAAAGAACGGTTCGCGAAAATCATTTTTAATTATTTTTTTTCTTTTTTTTTTTAATTACGTATAACGTTATAAAGTATATTGAAAATGTATTATAATAACAGTGACTTGAAATCTAATATTCAAATGTTATTTATTACATTTAAACTATATAGTAAAATTGAAAATACAATGTTAAAATATCACAATTTTTAATATTCAAAAATGCAAAATATTTCGATTTAAAGCGAAAAATCAAAAAATTTTAAAGAAAAAAATATGAAATGTTTGGCATTCTGCCAAAAATCAAATACATATTCTAATATTTGAAAAGGAAATTTTATTATTTCAAATACTAATCATAAATAAATAGTTTAAAGTTATTTAAAATTAAATTTAATTTGAACCAAAAATTTACACATAAAAAAAAGAGTTAAAAAAATATTTAAATAAAAATATTTTAGAGTGATGTAACGTGGAAATAAAATAAAAAATAAAAAACAATAAAGAGTTTCATTTTCTTGTTCAATTTATCTAAAATTCTTTTAGTTTTCTCTATTTTGAGAAAACTAAAAGAAAATTTGAAAATTTAAAAATAAAAATCAGCTGTTTTTGAAATTATTTTCCCAAACTCAAACAAAAAACAAAAACATAAATTTTTATATTTTTGTTTATTAATTTGTTTTCTTTTTCTTGTTTTTTTTTTTTTATATAGCATTTAAACTTAAATTATTATTAAATTTGAAATTTTTGAAAACAAAATCACAATAGAGAAATTCGCCTAAATTTATAAAAACATCAAAACTTAAAATACTCACATTTATTAATTACAATAAGCTGATATAGCAAAAATAAAAAAAATAAAAAAAAACGGAAGAAAAACAAATAAAAAGGCACAAAAATGGCTAAAAAAAGTCCTGTACGTTCATTAAGTGATAGTTCTCTAGCAGAACTAGCAAATTTAGTTGTCTCAGCTATTGGTTTTTCTTTACATAGTATCGCTGATAATGATTATGTAACAATAACAATGGTTGAAGTCAATTCATATTTATCAGATGCTGGTGCAACAAGTGATATTTATCAAGATCTTTTGCGTGTTATTTTAGCATCAGATTATTTAGAAGCATCAATGCGTTTTACATGTTTACAAATGTTATTAAATGGTGGTGTTAATACATTAATAACAGATATATTTCCATTTTCATATTATGAAAAAATTTTACAAGTAATTGCTGCTCAAGGTGCTGGTCTTAGAATATTAAATTTAAAAGGTGTATGGGTTAAAGAAGAGCATATGCATTATATGATGGAAATAATTAAAAAATGTCCCCATTTAACAAAATTATATATACCATATATTGGTAAGTAACAATTTTTATTTTTGCAAACATATACATACATATGTATATGTAATTCATTGTATAATGTCATTTAATGTGCAAGGTAATTCTATTTCTACTAATAAAAAGGGTAAAACATCATTTGTAAATAGGTGTTAAATTTTAACTGTTCGTAAAAAGGGTTTTTTTTAAATAAAAGTTAAAATTTTATGTATTATTCGGTGTTGCTTATCCGAATCAAAACAAATCATCTTAATTTGATCATAATAACAAAAATAATTAAAACATAATTACATATCTTTCATTTGATGGAAAATTTTTTGTAAAACAATGAGCTTTGTTGCTGTTAAACTACTTAAAAAACTTACAAGATTATAGTAATTATTTAATAAATATTCCTTTATTTATTTATTTTAAAAAAGTAATAAAATAAAAATTGCATTCTCCATAAATGTTTAAAAAATATGATGACCGGTAATTTCCAATTGTAAGATTTACCTAATATCGTAAATAAATTCGATATGGTAATTTAACAAAGAAACTATAATGCGCAGTTAGATGTTAATTATTACGTTTAGTATAGAATCCGGATTATAGTAAAACAAACATTATTTATATTAAAGAAAAAATAAATTTATAACAAAATATTTCCTAATAATATTTGAATATATTAAACAACCATTAGATTATTAAGATGAATATAGACAAATCTTTAACTAAACAGAAGGTATATACTTATTATATTAATTCAAGTAGAACTAAAGAATTTTATTTTTAGTTTAAATAAATTTTATTGCGTCTAATTTTTCTTTGTTTGAAAATAATATGCAATTAATCATCTTGAAAGAAAAGAAAAGTTCATTTTGTAGGCATAAATATGTAGATTATAATATTTTTTTTCTAGAAAACTTAGTTTTTACACTCAAAAATTATAAATACTAATATGTCAATGTTTGAAGGAAAATAATTTTTAAATTTAATTTACATTTTAATGTAATTTTCTTCATTTAAATTATTCAAAAATGAAAGTAGCAATAATAAATAAAGATAACGTAAAAACTCACAATGTGCTAAACTTACACGTATTTCAACTATGTATGTATTTTGTCGACACGATCATTTACATATAAGTGCATACTTAAAAAAAACAAATTTTCATTTATGTATGAGAAAAAAAAAATTTTTTCAAGTTCAAAGCCTTTTGATAAAAATAATAATTGAATTATGTATATAAGAAACGATTTAGTAAATTTTACTTTGGCAATTTGAGCGAAAATAATATAAGAGATGAGCATTAACCAAATTCAAACAAATCTAGAATTTAATTCGAATTGAACTGCAAACTCCATTCAGTTTACATACATAGTTTAATTAAAAGAAAAAAGCATGGTTTTTGACGAAAAAAATTTTACGGTTTCACTATTTTGTTTAAACTTTTCAAAAATTTAAAATTACTATTCCGGAATTTTCTTAAAATTTTTTCTAATAATTAGGATAGCTCAAGTTACTTATACATATAGCTTAGGTCAATCTCAAGTTAATTTATATAAAAATTTACAAGGACTTTAACAAAATTTCTTTACATATTTTAAACACAAATTCGAAAAAAAATATACATATGTATATATGTATTATACTTTCATAATAAATTAAAATATTCCGTTCATTTCTCAATTTTACTTATAAATTCACTATTTTTTTATTTTAGCGAACGACGAACTGTTAGAATGTATTGCAAAATCCAGCTCAAAATTACGTTTAATTGATATCAGTGGAGAAACAGACATTACGGAAAATGGTGTTGAATATTTAAGCAAAGGTTTATCTAGCGCAAAATTAACTGTTGTAGATATTGGTATGCCTGGAGAAGAAAATATTTGCCACTCAGATGTTGCAATGCTATTAGAACGATGTCCTAATTTGGAAACTCTAGGCACATATTCATTTGTTGGGCAGGCATTAAAGTTTGTTTATGATAATGTTGATTCAAATTTTAAATCAAAATTGAAATATTTACACGATACACATACTGATGGTGAACAATTAGAGATAATTGTTACAACATGCCCAAATTTAGAAACATTATATTTGGATACACCAAAAGAAGGAATATTAAGTAGACTGAAATATACAAAATTGAGAAAATTGAAAATATATAAATTTCAATGTGATGAACTATTGCAATTATTAGAAAATATTGGCAAAAATTTATCTCATTTAACTGTGATTAAAGGACGTGGTACCATGGAATTGGGTAAATTAGCTAGATTATGTCCATCATTAATTGATTTAGATTTTTATATGATGGATCAATTAACATATAATATTCCAATAAAATTTGATAGCTTACATGGTTTAGAAATGTTAAATAGTCCATTATCAATGGTATCATTAAAGCATTTTATCTGTAATAACACATCGTTAAGAAGACTAGCAGTTGATTCAGTCATATTTGGTGATGAAGATTTAGAAAGGTGAAATTTTCAAATTATATTTGAACTTTATTTAAAATTAATAATATTAAATTGTATTTTCAGTATTTTCGTGCCATATAATTTTAAATTTTTAGAAGACATTTGGTTTACTTCAGCACCAAATTTAACTGTTGCATCTATTGAAGTATGACTTATTAAATTGCAATTAAATTATTCCTATTATATTCCTATAATTAAATTACCCCTACTTATAACATTATGACATATTATATTTATTAAAAATATTTTCTTACCTTAACAAGATTTATTTATTTTAGCTTTTGATAGATCGTTGTCCAGAATTACAATCTATCGGTCAAATTAGTGGTTGGGCATTGACGCCAGATGATTTAGCTTTAGTTCGGGGAATACTTAAAAGTGGAAATTCATCTCTTGTACTATCCCCAACAACTTTATTTACATAAAATCTAAAATAAAAAAAATATATAATAATATATAATATATATAACATACATAGACAAAATGATAAATCTCAAAACAAAAAATAGTAACTTTTTAAGCGTTCAAAATTGATTGCTTTTTGCGCTTTAATTTACAAAAATTTGTTTTGCAAACAAAAGAAATTTGTTTTTGTGTTTAATATTTATTAATATTATTATTTATTACATATATAATAAAAAAAATTAATTGTTGTTGCATTTTTAAAATAAACTACTTAAAGCAGAAAAATTTATTTTATAGAAAATATTTCCCTATTTAAAATTAATAAAATAAAGTTAAATAAAAGAAAGGGATATTAAACAAAAACAAATTTTTAATCCAAACTATAGATGCACTTTAGGTTTGAGTTATAACCAAATCAGAAAAATGCAAACTTTTATAATACATTATAATGTTTTAAGGATATCTTTAAAATTTAAACTCTGCGTACAAAATTTTTTTTTGAATTCGTATTAGATTTGTTGAAATAAAATTTCCGATTTATTTGTAATTTACTATACGGAATACATTAATTACATAATGTATAATAATGATACAAAATTAGATTCTATTTAAATACAAAAAAATATTTTGTATTTAAATAGAATCTTTAAAATACAAAAAACAATGTATTTCGGTTAAATTAGTTTGAAATTTAATAAAAGGTTACAGTTCTTAATAACGAGAATTTCTATAAATAATACTTACAGTTTTTGTCCTTTCTAAAATTTAATTTTATTAATTTTTCTTTACACAAAGAAAACACTAATATTTTAAAAATGCAACTCTTGCGAAAAATAAATTTTTTTTTAATAATCAAAATATTTTTAAATTAGTAGCACTAATATATAGCTATTTAACAGAACTTTTACTTGTTGGTAACGCGAGATACAGCTACAGTTATTTAAATGATTACAAAATTTAAAATAATAATAGTAATTTAGTAACAACATAAAATAAAAATGCTTAAAAGTTTTGAAAATAATGCCAAGAAACACATTACAAAACTCAAAATTATAAAAAACAAAACCAATTTAGTTAATTATTTAGTTACTGCTTTACATGAACTATTTGATTAAGCAAAGAATATTTAAAAAAAATTAAAATTAAAAAAAGAAATATATTATACAAAATTGTAAATATGTGCTATTTTTGTTCTATATACATATTTCTAAATGTATGAAATATTAATTAATTTTAATATACATACCATAATATATACACACATATATATATATGTATATGTATAATAAAATATTTATTTTTATTTTCTCTTAATTTTTCAGTATCTGTCAACAAACAATCGTGATATACTTCTAATACCATCAGATGACACCAATGATACATGATATTTTCTCAGGTCAATAAACATTTAATTAAATAAATAATTACCTTCTCAAAACTAAAAAGAAAAGAAAAAAAAATTAATAAGACATTGTTACAAAATACTCAAATATATAACAAGTAACAACACTCTTGTAAAAATTAATATACATATTATGTATTATTTTTTAAATTTTATTTTATACAATTTCAAAAAGAAAATGAACATATAAAAATGGAAAACTTGAATGTGTCGTTTTATGTATGCAAAGAAATACATACTGTTAATGTTGATAGATGTACATATGTATGTTTATTTATATTATTGAACAATTATTTTATAACACAATATACATACATGTAAGAAAATTCAAAGTAACAAGTTAACAATTTGTTTTGATAATCTAACAAAAAATTTTAAGTTTTTGTCATATACTCGTATTTAGGAAAATGTCTTAAAATTAAAAAAAAAAAAACTTTAACTTTATTAACTTGCTTCTGTATGTAAAGAGCCATAGTAAATGTATAAAAGTTTTGAATAACATGATTTTTATTACATATTTGTTAATTATTAATACTAAAAGCAACTTTGTATATAATTTTTTCCATAATGTAATGTATTAAAAATTATTAGTTCAAAATTTAAATAGCCGCATTTGCTTATAGCGAAAATAATATAACATGTACTAAAAATATTAACGTAAAAATTTGATTATATCTGCAAATGGATCGCGTTTCACCCATTGTAACACTAACAATTGTAAAAAAAAAAGTAAGCATTCATAACTGTCTTGAAATAATAAAAGCCACTATTTCTTAAATGTGGTTAGAAGATTAAAAATTTGTTCATGTTTGTACTTCTAAGTTAGTGACAACAAGTTGTAGTTCTAAGCAGTTCGACTTGGCAACTTTTCGTTACTGTGCTGCAAAAAGCAATCAGTTTTTGTTTTTAGTTTTGCGAAAACTCTGCAAAATACGGCGAATGTTTCCCTACGTTTTTTTGTTATTTTTAAGTTTTAACATTTGTTGCAACTAAGCGTTTTTGTTGGCAAAGCTACTTATTTTAATTCTTTTATAGTGTTGTTCTTAGTATATAAAATTTTATATTATTATTCTTAGTATATAAGTTAATAAGGGCTCAAAATATTCTTTTTCTTCACATTTTTAAATCTTCCAAATAAACAAAGGGTCAAATGAAATAAACGTTTAAAATACTTTCCATCGAAACCCATAAATAAGAAACAAAAAGGCTTGGAAACTATTTGAAAATTTTTTTTCATCTTCACTTGTACAACAGGTGTAACTCGAACTGTTCTCCTGTTGTAGGAAAGTTTTGTTTCTTAATTTTAAATAAGTAACATGTAGTTAATACTAACTATTACGGAACTATTTCGGAATCGAGGAGTAACGTCCGACTTCTTAAAGCTGTCTTTGCCAAACCCTATCAAGTTCCAGCTTTTCAGTTGATCTAAAACAATTAATTTTTGTCTTTTCTGAATTTGCTTACTATTACTTTCTGCTGCATCTTCTTCTTTATTCCGTTTTCCTCTTCTTCGTACCTTCAACAAATTAGTTGAGAACGATTTCGATTTGATTTCCAATTTTGAAATATGCCAAAATTCAATTCTTAAAAATTTAACAATTCAAATTCCAATAGAAAGTGAAAAAATTAATAATACATATTAAGGAGAAAAATAAAATAAACGGTTTTCTTTGACATTTACTGATGCTATACAGTGGCAATGACTTCGTTTATATGGTGGATAGAGTACTTGACTCTGCTTATATCTTGTACAAATTCAAATAATTCAAATAATATTACTTGAAATCGGCTTAAGTTTGACATTAGTTGACAAACATTTTATATTAATTCGTTATTTTCAATCTTTCAATCCACGTATAGCAGCGTTTACATGTCAATTAATGTCAATTAAAGTTTTACATTCATGATTGAGATTTATGAAGATTTATAAGAAATTACGTTTGTATGGCAATCAATCTTTGTTAATCTTTCTATATGCACTTTAAATTAAAAAACTGGCACTCTACTATCATTTGACAAAAAAGCAAAAAAAACATTAAAACAGCTGATCATAGCCCATTTTATTCACAAACTTAGTTTTAGGCCATTTTTATTTTATTCCTGTGAAAGATGATTAACGAAAAAAGAACCAATTTTTGTTTTTTCGTCAACCAAAAGTTTCACGAAAATTACTACTTAATAATACATATATGGTCAATCTTCAATCTCAATCATGATTGTCGACCTGTGATTGACAATGTTAACACTAACTATATGATATCGATTTCCAAGTCATGTTAATAATTTTATTGAATCGATTGAAATTAAAAATTAAAAATTAAAATTGAAATTAAAAAGTCAAATAGCGTTTATATGAGCTCGAACTCCGCTCGAACTCGGCTTCAAGCTGATTCCAATTGATAACCAATTTAATAATATTTCCGCACACACTTATAGGTAGTAAGTGCAAATGTAACAGTTTAAACAACAACAACTGGTCGTAAGCACCCAACAATCTAAAAAATCAACGAGTAGGTTGAAAACAAATTAATTAAAAAATTTATTGTTTAGTGAAACAAAATATCAAAAATCGGGTTGTCATTACGCGGCGAAATGTCAAATTTCATATAGAAATATGGAATACTCATACTATATAAATGATTCAGATATCAAAATGCATATAAAATAGAATTAAGAGAAATTATCGCTGGGAATTTTATAGTTGTTTCAATGTGTATGCAATATTGTGAACAACTGATTTTTCCATTTCGCAGTCATTCTGTGTTAACAATGGAAATCGATTGCCGTTTTCATTCTCCGCTTTGGTTCTTTTTACACTTTAGTTTGGCATACTAAAAAAACTCATTCTTAAAATAATAAAATAAAATTTCTTGATTGACTTTGAAATGGATTTTGGGTAACAATATATATTATATTTAATTAGGACGTAAATGTTTCCTTCTTGATGTTGCAAACGCTGCGATAAATATAATAAACCCATATATAATATATAGTCGGGGTTAACAAATAAAAACCATTGGCTGACCATTGGTGCAGTGGTTATGGCACCGGTCCTTTAATCGAAGGGCCTTGGCTTCAAACCCCGGTCATGTCAAATTGTATTCAATATTATAACTTAATATACAATACTTATAAATATTGTACAAGTAATTTTCATATATTCATAATATTCAATAATAAACTAAGAAAAATAAACAATAAATTTTAATAATATTTTAATAAACTTTTAATATTTAAACTTTTAATATTTTAATAAACTTAAATATTTAATATAAACAAAACAAACTACGGCAGGCTAGTCACCTACCTAGTTAAAATATGTATGACACATTGAAACTAGGGCTTGAACTATCATGCCTAGCCCTATGCTCCCCGTAGGACTGAACAAAGGAAAAAAAAAAAAGTAAAAAAATTGCTAAAGGAAATTATATATGCGACCAAACAAACGAATGTAAAAGAAAATCATGACATTTAATTTACTAAAAATTTGACAAGTGACAAGTTTTGAAAGCGAAATTATTCAAAAATACATATTATGCTTTCCGTTTGTCAAAAACGCAATAAAGATCAAGTTAAGTCAAGTTAATATTGAAATACATTTTTAGATGTCAAATCCAAATAAAAATTCAATTGACAAAATTTTTTTTGGTATTTTCAAAAACAAAAAGAATTTTAATCTATATTAAACACATGGATTAATCGGCAATGTTTAATATTGATTAAAACTTAAAAATACATTTATACGTTTTATACTAATAACTTTAAAATATATGTTTTTAATGTATAAAAACATATATTTTAAAACTATTTTCAAAAAGGTATCGCGCACATCTACAAAAAGAATGTCTTTCGTTTCAAATACAGCGATATACGCAAGAAACTTACAATTTTTGCCTATATATGGGTAATTAAATAGAGTAATTAAATAGAAAAACAGGAAAATGTGTCAAATAAGAAAAAATTAAAATTCAATTATCATCAGATTTTGTGTTAAATTTTTGAAAATAACATGGCGGAAAATAAATTTTTAAAAAAGTTTTTTTGTCTTGATCAGCGTAGTTTTTGTTTTAAATATTTAAGCCATAGTTCTAATATTAAAACGAATCTGATGTGCAAATATTCGACAGAGATGTATAATTAGTTTGGTGTTTAACTAGCACCAAAAACGTCAATAATGTGCAGAAATTTGCATAAAATTTTGAATGAAAATACGATACATATTATCAAATTAAATATACTACTTTTTTGTGTTCTTATAAGCAAAAACGCATATATATTATAATATATGATTTTTCACGTAAGTTCATTACCTAAAAATTCGAAGATCAAAAATGCAATTGTGAATTATTTTTATTACAACGGCAGCACCTACACTTTACCAAGTTTAATATAAATGTCAAAGTAAGAAACTTGTAAGCGTCCAGTCTGGTTTTTAATAGGTTTTTCAATTTCGGTTTTTTCACGGTAGCTGATATCTAAATATGGGACGATTTTTTTCAATTATTTCCTAGTCAAACAAAATCAAAAAAAACCATCCAATTTAAAAAAAAAATTGTACCTTAAGTGAAATTGAATTGAAATAAAATAGTTGCAATAAATTTTTAAGATAATTAAAACCAAAAACCAAAGGCCTTTTTTTTGCTTTCAAAAAGCAAAAAAAAAATTTGACGCGAATTGTCAATACTGTGTCATCAACAGAAACCACATACTAGCATCATCAGTAGTATAGAGCACTTAAAAATTAGCAAAGGAATTATAATCACAAATGTTGAAGTCTACGAGAAGTTGAAAAGGAAGTTTCTGAAAAAATAGTATTTCTAAATAATTTAAAATTTTTATATTAATATATAATTTGGAATTGCAATCTAGAATTTAATTATAAATGAAAAATGATTTTATTGGAGATTAATAATCGTATTGTCGAAGAAACTTTATTAGTTAAATTTCGAAATGCGAAAGCTGGGTGAGTAATATACAAAAATTTTATGAAAAATATATAAATGAAGAGGTGTGGTGTGCTGTGTAGGCTATAAATATAATATATATATATCTGTTTAGAATATAAATTATATTAAAATAAATAAAGTCAATTGTAAAGTGAAATTTTAAATAAATTAGAGAATTAAATACTCATCTATGCATTCATAAAAACTAATAGAATCTTAAAGGTTATTAACCATTGCCAATTCATGTCGAGTATTATGCATTATACAGGGGTGATATCAATATGTATACCGGTGGTGGTCAATTAGTTATGAATAAATAAAATTTTGTTCAATTCAAAAAATATAAAATGTGAATAATTTTTCGTACGAATGAGGTTACTTGAATTATATTTAATTCAAAAAATTTTTTTTAATATAAATACCCATATTTGGGAAACTATATAGCTTTACATGGTACTATATACATATGTAGATAAATAATATAGATAATATAGATACTCAATATATCTACATATGTATATTCGTAGCTTCATTTGAGTTTAAAGATGAGGTCACTTTATTAGTGTCCCACTTTATTTTTTAATAAAATTAAATGTGTTTGCGATAGAAATTCAATTATTGTCCATAGTATGACTACGTATTATTATATCTTGACGTATAATATTACATTGTGTTAATCATCATAATTTTTATAGGAAAAATAGCTTATGTTAGCATACTTTATGAAAATGTTTTATCGTTTTTCAGTGTCTAGTTAGATAGGTGCTTATTTAAATAATTTAATAAAACTTTAAAGTATAAGGTTAATTATTTGTAATCTCTTTTAATAAAAAATGTGGTCTATTTTGTTCCATATCTCATATTTTGTAGAAATTCAAAATAACACACCTTTGTTATATAATTTCATTAAAAAAATCGCGGTATTCATATGATAAGCTTTGTTAAGATTGTTACTAAAATTGCGATAAGACTAATTTTTTACTAAGACTACGATAAGACTAATTAATTTTTGTTGATCTTTATAATATAAAAAATTCTTTATATATAAAAAAAAGCTTAAAAATATTGGAAATATGTAGGTAGGTAAATAATGTTGAGTAGATAAAAAAATTAAGTATTATTTAATTTCTTATTTACAAGAATAGGTAGGTATAGCAAAATCCTAATGTCTAATGAACAATCTGTTAGTATCGTTTTTATATTGTAAAACATTTTGTTATGATTTAAATCATGGTTCAGAATAAACATTTTGATAGGACGGCTTCATTTATAACCTTTTATAATAATCCCATCATTTATAACCAAGTCTATTTATATATCCACAATATCATCAATTGCTTTAATAAATCAGACTCAAAACTTTGAGTTTGGTTTTCTTTTTAAAAAGCCCTGGTCTTCCTAAATAATTTTTAATAATTCTTTTTTAAACACCTACATGACCAGGTTTTTAAAAATGTTTTCATAAAAATTTTGACTGAAATTACTGAATTTTTAAATTATAATGATCATGTCATAAAAATGAAATAAATTATAATACAATTACATCCAATAATCACTTAATTGCAGGTTTGTCTTATTCCAGAAAATAAACTAGCTTCCCTAGATAGGTACACTATTTTGGCTCAAATTTTAACTTTGATACAATAGTTTATTTGAAGTTACATCTTTTCGCTACATCTTTTCGCTCTTTGAAAACAGTATTGTATTCTTCATTTATTCGTTTTGTATTCTGTTTTTTCGTCTGGTTGTGTTTTTGAATTAAGGTGAAAAATAAAAAAAAAATTCATGAAAGAATTTTTATTGATAAGCACAGTGTTAGTTAATCATTCTAACAATCAATATTTTGTGAACATTGTATTTTCCCGTTTTCTCATTTCACCATAAATTAGTTGTAAAAAGAAGCAAAAATATATCTTTTTTTCTTTATATAGATTATTTTTTTTATTGTTTCATTTTGCGTTAAATCATGGAAAAAGAGAGTAGGTAACTCTGTACATACGCACATGTATTGTAAAATTGTGTGAGCATTTCCTGTCTAGCTGATATTCAATTCAGTCCATTTGCTGTGTTGCTTTCAAAGTACACGGTAGTTTTTATAAAAGGGAAAATGATAAATTTTGTGAAATTTCGAAAAAAATAACGCTGTATTTACAATTTATAAATACTTTTCAAGAATAAAATGATCAGCAAAAAGGAATACATGTATAATTGGTAAATAATAATATAATATGATTTTTTTAAAAACTACATAATTTTAAGTAAGAGAATTTTCAAGATTCTTATTACAATTAAGTTTTAATTGAATATAGTTTGCTTATTTAAATTTAATTTATAAATTCAATATTAATTAAGCTTTCAATATGTAAATCATATAATTTGTATAATATGTACATACATACATATGTACATGTAGTTATGTAGGCAGCTCCTACTACTTAGGAAAAGAAAAAAATTTTGAATTAAAAATTTTAGGTTATGTAGATACATTATGTAGGTTGTATCGTATTTGATTGTGAAAAAATGTGTACCTCTCTACCACGTGCTAATTTTTTCCGGGTAATCCATTGGAAATTTAATTATTAGTGATGGAGAATTCAGGGAAGATTTTATTTCAATAATAATATCTTTTAGTAAATTCTCCTAAATAAAAAAGTAGTCGTATATACACTTTCATTATTTCGCATTGTGAAAGGGTCAACTCATGCTATGTTACATTTTTTCACAAATGATTCTAATTCTAAAAATTTTATGTAAAAGACAAATAATAATTAGTGTCTATTACATTTCAGACGTAAACCTGAGCCAATTGATGTCACAATAGCGGATTTTGATGGTGTACTATTTCATATTTCAAATGTTAACGGCGATAAAACAAAAATTAGGGTGAGTTTATACTTGTAAATTATTAATATATGTATCTATGTATGTACTTATTAATTTGCCTTTTATGATAACATTGCACTAGTAAGTAAATAGGCTGGTACTTATTCAGTTATCTAATTTCATTTAGAAAATGAGTACCTACATACTTATGTAGATATGTAAATATATGTATGTAAGTTACATATTCAAAAGTTTCGAACAAAGAGTCGCTGATTTTAATGAAAATCAATGTTACTTCAGTGCTATTATTATTGTTCGAAGAAAAATACTTTTTAATTATGCCCCGGATATTGAATTCTGATATATTCGGGCACAAATTAAAAAACATTTTAATATTAAAACTTTACTTAAAGTTTACTGTGATAACTAACGAAATAAAAGTAGTGCCAAAATATGCACAAGTATATGTAGGTACTTACATATGCTAAATTCGATTTTTACGAATTTCAAGTTTCTAATATTATACAATAGCTTTTTCTGGTGGTTTTCTTTTACATATATGTTTTCGGACAAAGAGTCGCTGTTATGAGCAAATTCTAGCTCATCCAGTGCTAATAAACTTGTTCGAATAGAAACTCTTTTTAATTATGCCCCGGATGTTGAATCATGATATATTCGGGCACAAATTAAAAAACATTTAATTAAATAAGTTAATAGATTACAAAAAGCTAAGAGATTATGCATATATGGAGGTAAAAGTGGGATATTTCTGATATGTACTAACAAAATTAAGATTTATCTTTCATAAACTCCTATAGAAAATATGAGTGCAAATGGCATCCTATGTAAATTTTAAATTTTACAATAGATGACTTACTTTTGCTTACATAAAACATCTTAAAAATCATAATTAAATTAAAAGGGTTTTTTTTTAAAGAAACTGAAATTACAAAATTCAATTTCAAAAGTACAGGGGTTAAAAGTGGGTTATTTCGGTTAATATTTTTAATTAAGATTTAACTCTCAAAAACTCCCTAAAGAAAACTTATAACAAACGGCATCCTGTGTAAATTTTTAATTTTACAACAGATGACTTACTTTTGTTAACATTAACATAAAGAATTTTATTGTTTGAAAATTTAGAATATTGTTAAAGTTATTTTAATTGAATTGGAAAACTAAGTTTTATATTATATACTTACACGCACATATGTATATTTTATACATACTTGTTAATTTTTATAACGGTGAAAAGGAGATAAAACAGCAAAAATTATTGATTCAACTCAATAGTTTTTGAAGAATTTCTCCAATAGCAATTCCATCTCGTTCTAAATTATTTTCTTCATTTTATTATGAAGCAATAATTACGTCATGGAGACATCAAAATTATTTTTCCAATATAAGCTTAACATATGATTTAAGATAAAATAAGATAAAAAACTTACATACATATATGTAATATTACTATACACAGAAATATCATGTTAAAACGCTTATTATTATTACTAAATAAATGTTAAATTAAAATACTTATCATACCATTGTTTTCGTCTTTTGTATTTCAGACTAGTATAGCGTTAAAGTTTTACAAGCAACTACAAGAACATGGGGCGGATGAGCTTCTCAAAAGAGAGTATGGAGATTTGCTCACTGAAACTGAGGAAGGTAATAATTAATTTTTTACTTCATTTTCTTATGTTAATTTCTTATGAAACCAAAGTTGGTATTAGCATATTTTTTTTTTTTTTTTGGAACGGTATTTTCTTGTCCTTTTTTAATAATTTAAAGGAGTATAATAATCGTTCCTATATTATATTGTGATGTTAATTGGTTATCAAAATTTGTTTCATGTTCTGATAATTGGGTTTTCACACACAATTATTACAACTTTAAATCAAGAAGATTTATAATTTTAATGCTAAACTGAATTTTCTTATTGGGATCCTTAATGTATTGTTAATTACAATTACACAGACGATTATTACAATTTTAATCTCGAAGATTTATAATTTTAATGTTTAACTGGAATTTCTCATTGGGATCCTTAATGTATTATTAAGCTTATTAAGGATTTCTTTTAAAATTCCTATATTAAGTTTTGTCCTAAATAACAAGTCATTGCAAAATTTTTATTAATACGTAATGATTGAATTGCCAAAATACAGTTTTAATAAGTTATTTAGGAATTCAATATGTATTTTTTTCAAACTACCTCACCTAATCTCATTACAATTATTAGAAAAGTTTATGTTTTCAATTTGATAGCGACTTAGTAAAAATATATCTAATGCTGTTCTATATTTAATTTCTTTTTCAGGTTATAATGTTTCAGTACTTATAAGTTTAGAAAATATTCCAGAAGAATATGAAGTAATTGCTCAGAAAATTGGACTGTTGAAGCGAAATTGTTTCGCTTCGGTGTTTGAAAAATATTTTGACTTTCAAGAACAAGGAGAAGAAGGCCAAAAGCGAGCTGTTATCAATTATCGACAAGATGAAACTTTGTAAGTATATTTTGAAAGTGAAACAATTAAAAAATAGTTTTTTATTTTACATAATGATTCTAGATATGTTGAAGCTAAAGCAGATCGAGTCACTGTTGTTTTTAGTACGATATTTCGCGATGAAGATGATGTAGTAATAGGTAAAGTTTTTATGCAGGAATTGAGAGAAGGTCGAAGAGCATCGCATACAGCTCCGCAAGTATTATTTTCACATAGAGAACCGCCACTAGAATTGGCAAATACTGATGCTAGGGTTGGTGATAATATCGGTTATGTCACATTTGGTAAGTAAGTTTAAAAAAAAAAGTTGGTAATAATAATAAGATAAATTTATATATATTTTACTATTACCGTCTGTTTATGATATTTTCACAACTGAAAATGAAGTTTTGCATAAAATCTAAAATATATTTTATAATTGTTTTAGAATTGAATGAGCTTCAAGATGATCGTGCAAGTATATTATGCCTTTTTACTTTATTATTTGTAAAAAGGTTTATAAGCTTTCTACAATAACTATTTAATTATATAAAACATGTGTATGCATGTACAAATCACAAAAATGCATTTTGTTTGTCATATCGATTCCTCTTATCTACTTTTAGTCTCGACTGTTTTTTTTTATTGCTTAACAATCCTAAAACATTTCTTTTGTTTACTGAACGGTTATAAAACAGTCAAATTCCAAATTGAAATTCATTTTTAAATGCAACATGATTTTTTTTTAATTTTTTCAGTTCTGTTCCCGAGACATACAAATAAGGAAACAAGGGATAATACTATTAATTTAATTCATATGTTCCGTGACTACTTACATTATCACATTAAGGTAAACGGCATTAAATGTAATTTTTATATGTTATTATTAATATTTATGTAAATATTTTTTACTTACAGTGTTCAAAAGCTTACATTCATTCTAGAATGCGAGCAAAAACTTCTGATTTCCTAAAAGTGCTAAATAGAGCTAGGCCAGAACAGAAACATATTGAAAAGAAGACTATTACGTGAGTATTGCTTAATTAAAATAATTTTAATGTTAAAGTAAGATATATGATTATTTCTCGCGCCAATATAACTCTCAAAAATGGCAAAATTCTTAAAACAAATTATATTGCGTTTATTTCCAAGATTCGTTGTTAAATGTTTATAAGATTTTTGAAGACCATGGAGTTTTAATAGGTGCTACAAGAAATCGTAATATGTAACCACTTTTGAGGACTCCCATTTTAACTTATATTTGTTAAATTTCTAATAGTAACTTGAATAAATAAATCTCTGGTTGCTTTTTTTGATATTACATTTTGAAAAACTAAGTCCAGCATTAATTTAAAAAAAATTTTACTTTTGCTCAAGTGAGTTCACAAATAATATGTGGTTGAAAGTACATATTTTAATATACCCTGATATTCTTTTAAAGAGTCTACATCTTCTGAAAATTTTAATTAAAATATTTGCTAGACTACGCAAAATCTACAAATACAATACTTTTTTATTTACGCAATATCGCTAACTAATTTAATTTTTTACTTCAGTTAGCATAACAGTCTTTTTTTTTTTTTTGTATTTTAGGGGGAGAACCTTCATAAGGAATAAGGAATGATTTTATGGACAGTGTATAGTTGTTTTATATACATGTATAATATACAAAATATGATAATGTAAAAAAATTAAGTAAAAAATAAATAAAAAAATATTAATTAATGAAGATTTTAATATAAATTATAAGGCATATTAACAAAAAGAAAAATAAAAGTAAATCTAATTAAAAAAAAGATTTCAGATATAAAAAATAAATTACATTAAAAACAAACATATATATTATGTATATGCAAAATTGTAATTTATTATAAATAATGCGCGTGAAATAGTTTAAATATTTCCTACAATCAAAAACAAATAAATTTCAAAAAGAATATCTTAAACGAATTTTCATTTATTAATTTAATAAAACAAAAAAAAAAATAGTCGCAATATCCATTAGGAATTACATAAAAAAAGTTTCAAAATTACAGTTTAATACAACAAACGAAATTGTTACAACTTTCATAATTCATAATTATAAAAACTAAAAAAACAAACATTTATAAATAATAATCTTATTTCAGAAACATGTAACTATATAAAAAATAAATATAACTATGAAATTAAAATGCTGCCCAGAAATTAAAAAAAAATAAAAGAAATTATTAAAAATTATATAAAATTCTGAGAAAAGTAAAAAATTAAAAAACAAAAAGAAAATAAACGAAAATAAATTAAAAGAAAAATGTTACATAAAATGTCCAATTCGTTTCATTTCAGAATCCTTATTATTTTAATTTTCCAATATAAATTAATTAAATATAAATTATTTATTTGCATAAGTTTATGATAACGCGTATTGGTATCTTTTACATAAGTTTTACTGGATATTTTTTTGATATACTAACCAAGGACCTATTATTTACTTTAACAAATATGATTTTTCGATAGGTCATTCAAATATGAACTTTAAGTTCTAATTTTTATCTTTAAATCTTTTTTTTGCATCATTATAGATTTACAGAAATTAACTAGTTTATTTTTTTTAGAGTTTTTTAATAACTTTCATTTTTCAGTATGTTTTCTTCAAACCTAAAATATTTTTGCATCATTTGAAAGAAACTTTAAAAATGTTTTGGGGTTAAGTATGCTAAGATTTTCGACATATTTACATAGTTCGACATACGTACTTCTTTTGTGGTGGAGATCTATCAAACAAGCTACATTTGAAGATTTTGTAGTTTTCATTTATCGAACATGCTTAATATTATAATCTAGGGTAGAACTACATATTTGAAAATCTCAGGGGTCCAGTTGAATCTGCGACATTCGTGACAGTATATTATTTGGGTTATGTGTGTAAAGACTCATTTCAAACTGAGGTATTTCTTTTTTTTAGAAAAAAAAACTTTCAGCTAATATTTCTTGTATAACTACAAATAATTTCAGATGCAAAATAAGATACTTATAAGAACATCCATAAAAAAATTAACAGCCGCAATGCGCTTCAAATTTTAAAATTTTTTATATAAACTTCTACACAAATGTGTACAAATGAACAAAATTTGCATATTTTTTCTCAAATTATACATGGTTAAAAAAACTAAAACCTATGTAGATACATGATATAAAATCGCATTCTATGAAAATTATTATGTATATTTTCTGATTATCCTTGAAAATGAAAATTTGTAATAGCTTTAATTTTTTATTAAATTTTGATTTGCTTTATTGATTAAACGACTTCAAATTACAAGTAACTTATCACTAAAATACTAAGTATTTAATACTTTTTTGTTTTATCTTGGGCTTTAATTTTGTTACCTACAAATATTTTGTTTTTATTTTAATATTTTTTATATAATCTTAATTAGATATTTTTTTATGTATTTAACATTATAAGGAGTAAAAAGGAAAATATCCCAATTTTCTGTGTTGTCGAGATGGTTAACTAATTGTTGAAAATTCAATTCTTCTAATTTCAAAATTAAATTATTTAATGTTGCAATAAAATGTGAGTTGAGATTAAAAAAAATATTTATATTTTCTTGTTTATAAATTATTTTTATGATAACATTTGAATTGCGGTAATTTTCGAATCATCTCGGCTTGATAAATTTTCCAAACTATTTTCCGTTGATAGGAATTCACTTTGAACAACTTGTAATGCTAAAATATAGATAATTGAATTTATTATTTTAGTTTGTTTTAAATTAATAAAAATAATTTTAAAATTAGTAAATAATCATTTGAATATAATATGCTCTATCAATATTTTATTCGTAGCTTTAACTCATGAACTTTATTCAAATTAAGACTTTATCAAATTATTTTAATCTAAATGCATATTGCAAATTTCTTTCACTTACCCTATGAGGGATTTTACAGTACGCAATTTGTTATTGAATAAGGTATGTATGTTACAGTTTTGTTATGAATTTGGATAAATTAAAAAAATTCAAACTAGAAAAGATTCATTACGTACATTTCCGCTCCCTTAAATTTTAGAGACAATCTATATGACGCTACCTGTTGATTAAACTTCTTAAAATATTTTTATAATTTATGCTATATATAAACTGTTAGTCTTTAATTAATCTCTTTAAATCTAAGATATAAAGACATTACTTTAATATTTTGATTTTTTGCAATGATGAAATTTTTACAATTTACGCATATATATTCATGTACATATATGTATTTCTCATGTAATGGGGAGTGGTAATTCAATTCAATTACATATTTGTGTCAAACATGGAAAAATAAAACCATAAAAAAAATGTCTAGCCCTCTTATATTTCTCGAACAATATTGTGTAATACAAGAGAAAGCTGATTTTAAAATATTAATAACAATTAAATATTTTTTATATGAAAAAAATAGTTTGAAAAAAAAAGATTTAAAAAAAATACGAAAAAAATAAAGGAAATATATTTAATTCATAATATGTTGGCAACAATAGGATATGTTTGTTATGACAAAGATGTTATAGAGATAAACATTATTATCGCAGAACTTTAGTACATTTTAAATGTAATGGGTGCAATATAATTACTAAACCATATTTGTGCTTCTATACTAAAATATTCTAAATATTAATAACAGTATCTACTGGCACTGAATTCTAAAATTTGAACATTAGAATTATTTTTGAGTTTCCGATAGTTAAAGAAATTGAGAAATGCTTCAATTTTGAAAAAATGATTTCTCATATTAAACCAATCAATATTACATTAAAAAGTAACTTTATAGAGATTTATAAATTAATTTTCTTATAATAAGTAAAACATGTATTTATTAAATAAAAACTCCTATATTACAAATGAACTAATATTTATTTTAATACAAACATGTGTACATAAAAAAGTACGTACAATAGCGTAAATTATTTTATTGTTATTATTAGCAATCATTCTGATATTTAAAATATAACTTAAGTTTACTTCTGAAAGTTGAAATACAACTTAAATAAATTAATCAAAATTTATGAAACCGAAACTTAATATAAATACACGTAGATATACATATTATATATTTAAAATATTAAATGCAAAATATATTTATAATATTGGCAACTTACTACAATAAAGATTACATACATATTTCTATAGTACTAAAATGAGTATCTTATTGTGTAATAATACGTTAGAATAATGAAAACAAGTGAAAAATTCAAGGAGTTCCTTCCATTATTAGATGGGTACATTTAATATGTATTAGTTAAAAAACAAAAGAATATTAAAGTGAATTATGTCTCTGAAATTTTATATTGTTTTGTGGGTAAGTCTTGAAAAAATTAATTTGTGTGTTTAAAGGATACAATGCTCGCTCTAATTTCAGTGTATTTAAATGTGTAATTAAAAAATGAATTGATAAGTAAAAGTGTAAAGTATATAAAAAAAATTTTTCTCTACCCTTATTTTTATAATTAAAATTAGGGAGTTATATTTTTCAAACGACCAGAATGCCCCTAATTGTTGGGATATAAAACTTTTATTATTTTATGATGTGATAAACAAAATATTCAAATGATAGAAAAGCGTATATTTATTTTGAAAACTAGTGATAATCTAATATGTATGTGTATCTTTACTTGCTATATTTAATTAAATAATTAAATTTAAATGTATATATTGTTCCTATATAGTTAGACAGTTAATTAGGTACATACGTCATAAATCTTCATAAACGTTTTATTATTCTCCCAAATAATAAAATAAACATCTAGTAGAATAATCAACCTCTCTTAAAGTAAAATCCTTTAATAATGGTACTTCGTCATACTTTTTGGAAAATTTGAATTGAATTTAGAAGTAATTAACTGATAATAAAATAGTAATATTTTAATTAATTTCATTTAATTTACCTTTAGGTAAATCCATTTCATCCATATCAGCATTTTTTATATGACTTAATTTTTCACGAAATTTTTTCGCTAATTGTTTTCGTTGATAATCAGCTTCAATTTCTTGCTTAGTTCTTGGTATACGAAATCGGAAGCAACAGCACATTATAATAACTGATGACATCATCAATAAATTACAAAAAAAAAAAATAGAAAATAAAAGGAGACAACAAAAATTTATTGATAAATAAATTTAAGATATTAAAGAAAAATTAATTAATTAATTCATAATAAATTTAGATATACAGGGAAAAAATGAAAATGAAATTTTATTTCTTCGATTTTTAACTGACTTGAACTTAATAGAGTTGCAAAACAAAATGACATAATGTGCCATACGCGAAATCCACCAATTGTTATATCTTCAAGCCAAGCTGTTTCTGGATCAAGTTGATAATCTTCATTATTAATTATAGATTCAATATCTGAATTTGATGATGGTGTCGTTGTCATATTAATTTATTTATAAAATTAATCCGATTTTTTCCTTTATTTAATTCTTAATTTTATATTAATTGATTTTAAAATTAATTAATTCTAATTCTTTAAAGAAAAATTAATTTTTTGAAGTTATTATTTTAATTTTTCATTTATGTATATTTTTGAGAAGAACTTATTACAACGAAATTCAACAGTCAACTAACTAAATAGAAATTCTCTTTTGGATTTCTTCATTTGAAATTTTATTTACATATTCTGAAATATATATAAAGGATAATATGTGTGTATCCTTTAATACCAACATAGGTTTTTCTTTTATTTTAATTCTTAAATTCTTTGACTATATATATTATGTACCTATGTATATCATGATGATATAAAATATGATCTTTAACATATGGGTCGATTATAAGTAGGTGTGACTTGTATATATAACAAAATATTTCTATGTAAGTTAAGTGAAACATTTCGCACGAATTTTAATTTCCCTTCTTTTCATACTATATAAATTTAGAATATCTAATGGATAATCATTTTGCTTGAAATAGAGAAATATTATTTGTCAAAGATTTGAATACCGAAATTTGTCCAGATATATGAAATTGGAACCGAAATTTTCAATATTTTTCTATTGTTGAAATTGAATTTAATATTAAATCAAATTACATAGAATTATTTGAATCTAATAACATAAATTATTTGAATCTAATCTATTAAAATCGAATTCATTTTACGGGAGTGAGAAAATAGATAAAATTATTAATTTTGCAACATAAACTTTAATTAATTTAAAATCAATGCGACTGTACAGCGGCAACAAAAAAATAATAATAAAGTATTGTTTGTCATTTAACTGAAAATATTTAGAAGAAACCTATCCTTCTTTTTTTGTACTAGCCTTTAAGATTGCCCAGTTACTAAAATAAGTAATAAGTATTGAATATCTAACATAACCTAGGTAGGTACGTGCATTGTAGACTTTCTACTTGTAGACTTGGACTTGGGTCATTATAAAACTCGTGTTTCTCTAATTTTCAATTTTAGTATGATAACAATTTTGTTATATGAGATATACGGTCCAATATAATTAGTAGAATTTACTATAAACAAAATTAGTGCTTGAATAACTCTTGTGAATTTTTGTACTATATACACATAAGGTTAACTTGTCCGCTGCAGACCTAAATGACAATCTAAAATAAATTTAGCATATTTAACGATACACTTTGAAAAAATGAAATTGACGGTAGACTTAATTTTAGAAATTTTACGTATTGTTTGACTTTCCGAACATAATAAAAATTTTAATTATAAATAAATATGTATTGGATATTGGAGGGTGTACTTATTTTGTAACTTGAAGTTAAAACTACGGTTTTGCAAAACAATTGTAGTTTTATACCTTCTATATGCAAATATGAAGGAATAGATAAGCAAGTACCTGAAATGATTTCAATCTATTATGTGACAATTCATATTTTGTTTTACGTGTAAAAAACTCCTTAAACAAAAAAAAATGTACAACGTGCATTTTTAGAATATAACAACAGAAAATTAATTAAAGAATTATTAGGAGAAAATGACGCACCCTACTGTGAAACATACACAGGCAATTATAATCGCAACTACATACATTATATCCGTCTATGAAAAGCTATCACTTTCATCCTACTTAGCTGGTGATTAAATTGGTTACACTAACTGTTATACATATACGTGGTATGAATTTCTTATTTTATAAGTAAAATTTTATTTATATAAAAAATGGAGTTAGAATTAAAGACGGACAAATAAAAGAATATTATAAACAATTTATAAATTTTTTCGTAGAATACAAATTTAGAATTCTTTCGTTTATGTGTACATATATATATATACTACCTAAAAGTATATAAATACAAAATATTTTATTGAAAGGCAATGAATATTAAAGAGATTAGGAAGAATATAAAAATATAATTATGATTAGTTTTATAAAAACTATAAGAAAAAAGTAGATTTATGTTTATTAGAAAAATAGTAAATAAAATTAGTTAAAAATATAAATAAAAGATAAAAGGAAAAATAAACTTGTCTTTAAAACTCGTTTAGTCCTTGCTAATCATTATTAAATTCAAAGTAATGACGTTAAACTCAGGAATGCAATCATTAGGTAAAATCGGTTTTTGAAACCAAGACTACTTCTTTTTTGATAGAATTTCTTTTTATTATAGTTTGAGTAAAGTTTTTATAGTTATTTTCTACTTTTTTTGTTCTGCCCAGTTAAAATTTCACTTATATTTTCAACTATAATTGAGAAACTCAATAGGGTTGGGAATGGGAAAGATAAATCTGCTGCAGTGAAAAATATTCAAAAACTATTATTAAAAACCGTTTCCAATTTACAAATATTTTACAAAATTTTCAATACTAATCTGCCAATCGTCTTTTTAAGAACCTACTTTATTATTTTTGTTTTATTATTATTTTAAAAATTTTTTACTTTATTTTATATCCTTCCTTTTTTTTATTTCATTTTGTCATGGGTCAATGAAATTGGACATGTATATTGTCATATATATATATATATATACATATGTACTTATAAATATTTTGTTAGTTTTTTGATTTTCATTCTTGAAAAAATAAACAAATTTGAAGATAATTTAATAAGGACATTTGAACATAAAAAAAGATAAAAATAAGACCAGATACGTATCGCTTATTTGCTTCAAGAGTGACATAATTCAAAAAATACGATTTCTAATTTATTTATATGTAGAGATGAGTGCGTAAAACATTTCTTTATTTTTGGCAAAAACATCATTTTTCTAGCTTTAATTACAATAAAATATAATGCCATAACGGGAAAAATATAGTAACTGTAACAAAAACAAAATTCGTTTTCGTTTAATGTGCAAACTTTGAGTTATATGTCGGTGTTGTAGTAAGCGAGCGATATAAGCGTAATTTTATATTATAACTGAATTTCATAAAATTAAAGCTACGTGGAATTTGGTCATTTAATTATGACATATAAATTTTTATAAATTGATTTTTTTTAACTTTCGAATGTGAATTAGATTTCGTCAGATTATAAAAAAAACATATATCTAATTTACAATATTAAGCTGTACTTAGCCTAATTTGATAGTAACAATGCACTTTTTTTATGTCAATTTTATATGAAAGCTATTTTATGTATTATTATGCATGATTAATAATGTTCCTCTAAAAAGGAACCCTAAATTTAGATTTTAGAGCGTCATTTTCAATATAGTTTTTTCATGATATAAAGTAACTAACGGTAAAATTATTTATCATTATTTAACAGAACCGGATATGGTTAAATTAAATACTGTTTCATTCCATTCATTTTACTTTAATGAAAAGTAAAATAAAAAATCTATTATAAAATTTTCAGGAAAATGAAATGGTGAAATGGAATGAAAAATGAAACATAATAATTCTTATTACATATTCTACTACAAAAATTCCATTTTCATATTGCTGCTCTACTGTTGTGTTGTGTGTTAAAATATTGAAAATGTATTGAAAACGAATAAGAAAAAATTCAGTTGTATTTGTGCGCGAAAAAAACACAGAAGTGCAAAGTAGAGGAATTTTGTCGCAATTCGATAGTAAAAAAAAAATTAAATAAAAATTATACTGCATTTTCATTACAATTAATTTCAAAATAATTTTTCAAAAGTGTTCAATACAAACATAAAACTAAACGAAAATGTTAAAAAGTTCATGATAGTTTTTAAAATACAATTAATAAATATAAATTTAACATTATATTCTTAATAAAATCTAGGCAAAAGAGTAAAAAAAAAATAGAAGAAAAAGAAAAAAAGGTAGAAAAAGAATTCCTAATCAGAATTTTGATACATACATGTATGAAGGAAAGGAATATAATAATACCACAAAAAAAATAGTATTCTCTCATCGCCGATTTTTTTTTTAGTTTCCGAGTGTTAAAAAAAATTATATTTTCGTGTGTGCTGAAAAGGATCGTCGTCCGAGAAAAGGAAACCATCCAACCTATTCAAAATTATATAGGTCGGTCGATTGCTCAATTTTAAAATTAAAAATAATTACAAATATAAAATTAAAAAATATATTAAAAATATACCTACATATTTGTACATATACATACTGTATACATAAGTATCTTGATTATTTCATATATGTATATTACACTTATATCTATAACAATGTATATAAATATATGAATCGAAATGTAGAGTGTGTGAAAAATATTGAAAAGGAGTATCCTTTTTTTCATTTTTTTTATTCATAAATTTTAATATAAAAAAATACATTCAAATGAGAAAAAAACAGGATAGCAGTAACAGAAAAATATATGAATGAATACATGCGCGGTAATTTTTTTTGTTTTTTTTTTTTGTTACTGTGTGTATAGAGCAATGTGTTTGTAACGAATTGTCATTTTTATTTGAATAAAAATCAAAGTGTTTGAATATAGATTTGTATAATATTTATTTGTATTATCAAACATGCATATAACAGTTTTCAATTCCATATGAAATAAACTACATGCTCTATCACTTAAGACAGGTCTTTTTTTTTAATTATTTTTAGTACCAAATTAGAACTAAATGACAGCAAATATTTAAATTCGAAGAAATTCATATAATTGTATGACATATAGCGTTAGCTATAAAATACTCCCACATAAATACGGATTTAATATGTTTGTGGGCAAGGAAGTTTACTGTTTCAGATAATAGTTTTTATTTATTTTATTTTTAGAAAAATTCAAAAAATAAAATGAAGTTATTATACACGTTCGTGAAAGAAAAATGCAAAATATTCTTACGGAATATTAAGAAATTTCTACTTAAAACTTAATAGTGCAATTGCAATTTATAATTTATGCATCAAAACAACTGAGTTAAGAGTTTTAAATTTAGAGTTGCCGTTCGTTTCCTTAATTGATGCAAATGATCTTTTATGCTCACAACAAAAAGCACTTTTTTTTTGTACTTTTTTTTTTGCACAAAAAA